AAAAGATGAAAAGAACCCTCACAAGTCACAGCAGTTTGGATTTCTTTCTTTAAGAGTTAATCTTCAAAAGCAGAGCTACTCTTAAAGGTAATCTTAATTACATTTCTGAACTAAAAAGATATAAAACAGTAAGTTTTCTCCCTGAAAATATAGAAAATAAAAGGAAAGAGTTTTCACTGTATATTAAAAATACATATGTACAGTTAAGTGCTTATGATTAACAAAAGGTACAATAAATAGAAGACAGGGTAAGTTCTCAAAGTTGTTCATCCTGGAATAAGATGTTAGCCTTTGGCTACCTAGGAATGAAAGATTCAGTCCCCAAATTGGAAAACAGTAATCATGCTATATGCCCACACCCCCCATTCCGCCCATGAAAGGATGCAACTTGCACGCTTTTCTTTAGAGAGACGCTCATGAGTGCTTTCAAGTGTGGTACTGGTGCCCTGCTGACAGTTCCTACTTCTGAATTCACAAAGGCATGTATTCACAAATACATGCCAGGCGAACCAGGCATTCAAACTAAAAACTGTTTGGAGGATTTGGTGTTCTGATTACAAACTAGGCTATCCTAGTGTTCACGGAACAGCAATGTGAGATTTTAATCCTAAAGGGAAAAAAAAGTGCATTTCGTTTCATTTAGGGGAAAAAAAAAATCCAAGTATCCTTGCTGTTAGGGAGTCATATGAAGTCCTACGCTTCTGTTTCAGTCCTTGGAGTTGGCTACTTAGTAACTAGTCCTCTGTTGCCATCTACAGGCAAAGTGTCCCATAACAGGACACATGGGGATGTGCTAGTGCTACTGGCTTTCATGTACAACTCAGCTTCCCAGAATCACAGTTATTTGCACACTGATTAGTATGGATTTGTTCAATTAGACTAAAGTGCTCTATTTGCATGAGCAAAATGCAAAAGAAGAACTTTAAAGCATTAGGAAAATTATCAGTTAAAATAATAAACAGAATTAAATGAGGAAAAATAAATTGGAACTGACATCTTAGTCATCGGTTCTTCATCAAGCTGAGCAAATCTAATAACGCCTCCCTCCCTCCCTCAGCTCCCAAGAAGTCCACCGTTAAAATGTCATCTCTAATTCCATTTTATGTCTATAAATTGCATTTTAATAACCTTTTGTTTCCCTTTCTCTGTTCTGTTTTGCCTGTGTGTGTGTGTGTGTGTGCGCACACGCACGTTTATCCCCCAACTACTGCAAAAGGTAGTAAAGGGACAATGGAGTCTTTCTGAGAGGCAGTGTTGCAGTTACAAGGACAGCAGTGGGCTCCCACCTAATCCTGTTGCCTGACCTCAGTGTCAGAACACCCTTTCTCCTTTTAGAAGGGCTGGATGATCCTGGTGAGCCTCCTACTGGTAATTACTCTCCTGACCAACTGGAGGACCTCTTGCAACCTTAATACAAAGTTATCATTTGTCCTTTCTTTGGTCTTAATGATGTAGGGCGTGGAAAGCAGAGAAGGAAAAAATGACAACAGAAACAAAGAACACTGAGCTTCAGAACCGTGAGCGCAGGCTAAGAGACGCTCATGTCACATATTACTTCTGTGACGAGATCCTGCTTGTTATGACAGTATGCTCTATTTCCTCTGTCACTCTAGGAAGGAAGTGCCATGAATTCCTTTCTAAGCATTGCTGATCTCCAGTGGGTAGTTAGGTTTCTAACTAAGGAAGGAGAAATGCCAGCTATAGGCTAATGATTTAATTGTTGATTTCCTGAAAAATACAAGCTGATAAACACAACAGTCTTAATAGTAGAATTTTTCATTTTAAAGGGTATATATAATTTCCAACCAATCAGTTGGAAATATAGAGGCAGTTTAAAATACAATGCATTATTTTACAGCCTCTGGGGAGAGCATGCATGCCCATGGGAAAAAGTTCTGTTTGAATGAAATTTATGCTGCAGTCAGTTTTTTCTACATCAATAGAAGCCATTACAAAATTATATTAATTATAAAGGAATTTTTCATGAATGTGAATTAATAATTATATTGCATTATTAAATTGTCAAATGGTGTTTACAGAATGTACCATCTATAAAGGAAATTCTTTCTACCTACTGCTCATATTCTGTCTCACAGCAGAATATCATTCTTTTGCAGGAAAACCTTCATTTGAATTGGAATACAGTTGGCTCTGGAACAATGAGAGGGTTAGGAATGCTGACCTCCAGCACAGTCGAAAATCCATGTATAACTTTGACTCCTGCCAAACTGAACTACTGAGAGCCTACTGCTAGCTGGAGGAAGCCTTATTGATAACATAAACAATCGATTAACACATATTTTGGATAAGTATTACATACTGTATAAATAAAGCACACTGGAGAAAAGAACATGTCATTAAGAAAATCATAAGAGAAAACACTCCAGTCTTGTATGTATTTATTTAAAAAAAATCCACATCTAAGTGGACCCGTGCAGTTCAAGCTGGTGTTGCTCAAGGGTCAACTGTCATGTAATCATTTAATCATTTAATGCCAGGGCTCCCTCCTCTTGTGATAGTCCCCTGAGACTTAGTCTTTGGCCTTTAAAAATGAGAAAACTGGTGTGAAGTATAAATTGACTTATCCAATGCTATTCTGAAAGTTAGTCATGAAGGCAGCCAAACTGGCCAACTTTTAATCTCCAGCCCCGTCCTGCCACTGGTGACCTCTCCCAGGTTCTAATGGAGGGTGTGCATATTTATGAGAGAAAAGCATTCTGGAGAGGGTGCATAAATGCGTAATCATGGCAGGCCAGATTCTCCTGATACAACCCTTGAAATTTATAGTTGCACTCTCTTTAATGCTTGAAATACTAGCGATACTAATGTGAATTGTGCTTTAGAGTGGACACTTTTCCAGATATTTCTCCAAATAGTTAATTATTTTGAGTCTGAGTTAAATTGATATTTTTCTTTATCTTTGTAGTGAATAAAGAAGATTCAATAAGCACACAACTAATGTGTAACTCAGCCATACACAGTCCATTTCACAATTTATAAGTATATTGCTAGTTTGTACAGTTTCCATGGAAACATGTTAGTGATGAACCGAGAAACCAACATGGAATTGTATTCAGGATAGTCCAATCATGATATTCAGTGGGGAAAAATCGGTAGACCGTGATCTTCAAATACTAGTTGGCGTTTTCTGAGATCTACTTAGATAAAGTTTTAATAAACTCAGATGGATTAGGTTTTGAAACTTATCCCAGTTCGATTAAAGTAGGATTTCTTCTCAAATCTGTGTTGTCTATCCATTGGAAAAAATTGCCCTGAAGTTCTTGCCCTTAATCATTATAAGACTCCCAGAATACTGTGAACAAACCATTATTGAGCAACCAAGGCAAACTTAACCAAAGACCAATTAAAATAAAAGACCAAGAATAACGAAAATAAAAACAAAATGACAAAGGTGGAAAAGCACCCTTTCTAGCAGCTGTAAGCCCTCAGCAGGAGCAGGAAAGCAGTCTTTTTCATGGAAAAGCGTGCTGGCAGTCCATCCCAAAAGAAAATTGTGGAACTGAATGTTTTGGAATAGACATATCTTGAATGAATGATGAAAACAGAGTAGAGAAGGTCAGGTTTAGTTGAGAATCACCATAAGATTGTTAATTCCAAAAAAATTACTGGCTGAATATTAGCTGATAACAAAGAACACTGACATCTATAAAGACATGGACAATGTACTTCTACACTGCATTTCCTTAGAACAAACTAAAGAGAGAGGGCGAAAAGAACAACTGGCAGTTTAAAACCCTCAGCAGCACTGAGTAGCATCTGAAAGAGTCTACATTCTATTCAACACAGTGAGTGGGCTCATGAGCCAGTTATTCACTCATAACTCATGTTGAAAGGGTTCAGTCAAAAAACATGAAATGCAAACAGTACAAGAAAGTGTATATACATTTGTGCCACCTGCAAATTCTGGAAGCTCATATCAAATAGTTAGTAACCCAGATCTGGGATGGATTGTATCAAATATGTCACTTATTTGTCTTTCATTTATCTGGAGCTCTAGTACAACCAAAAAAAGAAAGAAAAAAAAAAGGAAAAGAGAATAAAACACCCGAAGAAGTGGTGAAACATTCAGTATTGCTCACGAGCATAAGGTACTGTTTCGCAGCATATATACTTTTTAAAATTAGATACTGCAGTGTCTAAGTTCTTTCTTGAGAAAAGAAAAACAGCTCAAGCGATTCCACATTGAATATGCTGTTAAAATTTACATACTCTGAAAAAAAGAGGAAATTATTAAAAACTCAAGTAATTGGGGACTTGAATATATTTACTCTAGAATATGACACCAGGAAGTATGAGATTTCATTATTTCTCTGCCCAATTTAATCTTTGCCTAGAGCTGCTATCAAATTGCATATAGTGTATGTCTGCATGTATAGAACAGAAAAAAAAATCCTTGTGCAGCCACATCAATAAAATGGTAAATGGAAAAAGACTTTCAACTTTAAAAACAGGAATTTCTAAGGAGCAAGACACCATTATTTCTTTGGGTGTTCACAGCAACTCAATTTCGCTGAAAATCTTACTGTGCAAGCCTTCTGCTATGTTTTGGCTTTCATATGGGTCTTGTACAAAGATCTATAGTGTTCCGATCTCTCTCTGCGGTGTTGTCTTTCTAGCTTCCCTCTCCTTCCAGGCCTTGGCAAAAGGACACTATGAACTCTTTTTTCTCAGAGCCCCAAAGTTTGCATTGGCACAGAGTCCACTGTGGGGGAGGTTTACTGCTTTAAAAAATAAATCATGAAATTTATATATACTGCAAGACACCCTGGAGGTGTTGGATAATGATGCGATTCCTAGGGAAATGTTCAGCAAAAACACATAATACATATAAGCCCCAAACCTCCCCCAGTGCATTAGATGGTTGAGCTGTCTAAAGAAATGACCCATTCTGCTGTCTCTGGGTGGAATCTCCTGAGTAATGCCTGTCTCTTGGGTGGATTGCTTTTAAAAAGTTATAGGTGGATATTTCAGATGCTTACTGCTATGACAGAAACTCCGGCTGCTGTGCTATTCGGCTTGGGGCCTGTGTTGAAATGCTTCTTTATCTTTCCAGCTACTGACAGCTGATGTTCATTTTCTGGGAGGCCGTCATCCTAGAAAAGAAAAAAGAAAGAAAAGAAAAGAAATGAAAAAAAGGAGAAAAATAAAAAAAATGAGATAAATGGAAAATGAAGCCAAGATCTAGTTACAAGTGGTGATCTTAGAACTCCTAAGATTTCAGAAATAAAGTAACCAATGTCTTCTCATTAAACATTGTTGTTGAAAGTATTGCTCTGAGGTCTCATTCGTTTCCACATCCGCCCTTAAATTAATTTGCTGTATCATCTGACCCCCAGAGTTCTGTTCCTAAATAAAAGTTTTTATTTCTGGTTTTGGTTTCTAATAAAATTGATCTCAGCCATGGCTCTAGGGACATATGTCAAAGGGCAAGTTAAATCTGAAAAACCAAAAAAAAAAAAAAATCATAATCATCATCATCTTCTTTTTTTTTTTTTTTTTTTTTCTGAGCCAAGAGTTTTATCCTCTTAGCCTATCATTCAGACCCCAAAACGAGGAATCTGACAGTCCTGGAGTCATGCGAGGGCCCGTAAATAAACTCTGTCTGGTTCCACTGTTACTCAATTGACCATTCTATAATCCCAGACAACCTTCCAGGCAAAAAGTTCTTCCTTAAGTTTTAAATCCTCCTTACTGCCTTCAAGTCTTCTGTGATTCTGACATACTTCATACTGAGGCTTATTTTAACGAATGCTTCTGCTCTCTGCCGGAGCTGTCTATGATGGAAGCTAGTCAGGCTGCTCCCCTTTGCTAAATACCGTTAGGATAACAATAACCAGAGCCGTAACTATGTGCCACCACTTACTAGCTCTTGTTGAAAAGGCTGCCCAATCCATGAAGACAGAGAGTACATTTTGTTCACTACAGAACCCTCAGCACAGTGCTTTGGCACACGGTAGATGCTTCATACATGTTTGTGGAATAAATGAATGAAGGGATAATAAAGTGTTTGTTACTATCTGTTAAAACCCAAATTCCTGGCAAGACTTCAACGCCATTCATCATTTTCCTTCTCTCTTTCCTTTCCATCATTTTGCATGTTATTTCTTGGCTCCACACAGGAAAATAAATTGCTACTTCCCTCGCATTACATGCTTACTCTTTTACATAATCTAGGCTTTCCTTCTTTCAGCATTTGGCTATTCATTTATTCAGTCACTATTGACTGCATGTTTATAGTGGACCAGGTACTATATCAAGAGGTGGGGAAAGATGGTGAGCAAAACTAGGCATGGGCTTTGCTCTTATAGGCCTGTGGCCTCTCTTGTTCTTCAAAACATGGGTCTAAATCACCTGTTCCAAAACATTTTTCCTCTACTAAGTGTAATTCATTATAATGGTTCTTCTGTAAACTCTTAATACTTTTTCATTTTATACATATATATATCTGCACTATTTACATTCTTTTTGGTGTTAGGTGATTCTATATATATATATATATATATATATATATATATAGCTTATATATGTGAATTCATAGAGAGAGTTTAGAGTTTTATATATACAGAGACAGACATAGATATAACATATCTATATTTATATATACATCATATATTATCTACTCTGAACTCTTGCCTTTGGCACCACATCTTCCACATTTTCTGTAATCCTTAATATAAGCACTTGGTTCAGCACCCTGCTCACACAAATATCAATTTGCGATATTCTTGGACTGACTTATTAATGACTAGAAGAATCCACTATTATGCTTATTAAGTCACATCTGAAATCAAATCTGGAGGAAGGATGCTTTCCAGTGATTGCAGAGAGAATTCAAAAACTTCTTAAAAATCTGCATTGTAAAAAGACTCAGAAATAAAGTGAAGGATGGGACGCCTGAGTGGCTCAGTGGTTGAGCATCTGCCTTCAGCTCAGGGCGTGATCCCGGAGTCCTAGGATCGAGACCCACATTGGGCTTTCTGCAGGAAGCCTGCTTTTCCTTCTGCCTATGCTCTGCCCCTCTCTCTGTCTCTCATGAGTAAATAAATCTAAGAAAGAAAGAAAGAAAGAAAGAAAGAAAGAAAGAAAGAAAGAAAAGAAAGAAGAAAGAAGAAGAAAGAAAGAGAAAGAAAGAAAGAAAGAAAGAAAGAAAGAAAGAAAGAAAAAGAAAGAGAAGGTCAGTTAGGTTATCAGTGGGATCATACTTGGGGAAGGGACATATACAGGGACATATGAAGTACTTACTCTGTCCTGGGCTATGTCGAGGATGGCAGGGGTAAGAGAAAAAAGGTCCCTGCCCACAAGAACCTTGTAGGCTAATTGAGAGACAAAGTATGCACACAATATCAAATAGTAAAGCAGATCAACAAGATAAGAAAGAGCTGTCATAAGGCATGTAACCTCATGGCTCAGCTAGAAACATGGAAGGAGTTCAGAGGACAGGACATATCTTCAGTTGTGAACACAGCAGACTTCATGAGGAAGATGGAATCCCGCCTGGTCTTCAATGATGAGGAGCAGCTGATGCTTAAGAGCGGAGGGAATGGATGTTTTGGTGTACGGATATGAACAAGTGGGGAACCTCAAGGCCTGTTTGCCAAACAATGAGTTAACCAGTTTATCTATAGTTAAGAGTATGTGGGAGAATAATGATGGGGAACACTGAGAAAAACAGGAAAAAACTGGCCACAAAGGACCAGAGATAAAAACCTTAGTCTCCACTTGGAATAAAACCAATGCTTTCTAATAAGAGGGGTCTAAGGGTAGGAAGGGTGGAAGACTAACTACCCTCATTCAGAAAGAATTAGAATTATGCAATTTGGAACTTTAAACACAAGGGTGAATTCAGTGGTATATGTGAACTGCTTTTTTAATGGTGGATGAAACAATAGGCCTCGGGAATCTGAGTTAGAGTTCTGAGAGCATTTGAACATTTGATGAGGGATGATACATCCATTTACTGAGAGTCTTCCAAGTATTAGTGTCATGTATCTGACACAGATTGGAGCTCTGCCTGAGGGAAAAGAAGCAGCCTAATACAGGGGTTCCCCATTGGGCCTCACCCCCAAGATTATACATACATGTGTAATTATGTCTTAATAGAGTTCCAGGCTAGCACAGGCAAAGTGATTTGTTTGAGTTTTAGCTTATAAACAAATTAGAAAAACAAAACTGGGAAGTAGGTTGAAGGAAGGGTTTTCTCTTTAGGACAAAAACATCTTGGGCGTATCTGTAGTCTCAGGATCAGAAGCTGCTGAAAAGGAAGAGCTGGAAGACACAAGACTGGAGCTAATCAGAGTGAAGGGCAGGGATGGAAGGGAAATGAGGCAGTTCACCCTGGGGAGGTGCAGGTTCACCCGGGGCAAGATGAAGTAAGGAAAGAAAGGGTGAGGCCCGAGGAGTTTGAGGGTAGAGGGGAGCAAAGATAAAAGAGAAAGGCAAGGAAAGAAAGATGACCCAAGTATTAACTGCTATGTGGCTCTCAGCGAGTCACTTACATATACGAGCCCCTTAATCCTCAGATTATCCTCTATGTTATGCATTAATAGGACCATTTTGAGGATGAGCAACCTGAGACTCAGCAAGGCTGAGTAATTTGCTCAAAGTCACACAGCTAGAAAGTGGTTGAGTCGGATGGGGACTGAACCAGGTCTGAAAGTATTCTTTCCACAGCACCACCCTGCATCCATCCAGGGCATTCATTAGCATGGCATCAGTTACAAAAGGGCTCCCTTGGGTTAAATCATAGGATTCCATGAGTCCTCTCTCTCATGATAAAGGTGGGACAATGGTAAGGAGAAAGAAGGATTGAATTAGGGGCTGAAAAAAACCAGAGAATATCCATGCAGGCCTCAGTGGAGCATGGGGAGCATTTGCATAGAGGGCAGTAAAAGGATCCTGAGCACTTCAGGGGTCCAGGGAAATGTGGTTGACTTTTATGTCAAGGCGAGACTGGTTGTCTATTCATCTAGGATGTGGCAATGTGACCTACTACAGCTCTGGAATCCTGTGTAGAAGAGGCAGCAGCAGAGGGCCTGGCTGACACTGGAGGACATGAAGCTGCACTGGGTCACGGCAGGGTCCTATGATCCACACAGGCAATGTTGAACAGGCTTGGTGCAGATAGAGAACAAATAGTAAGGATTCCATAGGAGCAGCCCTTCCTGACTTACTGAGGGCGATTAATCTCGGGCTGCACCCATCCTGCCATCTCCTCAATTCCCCAGCAGGGGTTCCATCTTAGCCAGAACTTTCCTTTTTCTGACTTTTCTTCCTCCTGCCAATTTCTGAGATAAGTTTGCTTTCTCACCACCCTCAGAAGGGACTTGATTATTATTTCCCTGCTCTGTCCTGGTCCTGATCTCCTGTCAAGACTCTTAGCAACTCTTTTAGATGTTGGGTCCTGAGGGTTCAAGCTTCCAACTTTAAATTCTAGTGAAGGTTTCAGCTTCCCTTGGGTTATTAGTTCATGTTGAAGCAATGAAAGTCCTGAAACAACCTGCACAAGGTGTCAGAGATGCTTCTGACTTCATAAATCTTAAAACATTTCAGTTTTTTTCCCCCATTGAAATAAGGTGTCTCAGAGAAGGTAGAGAGGGTGTGCATGTGAGTGTCTGCATGCATGCGCACACATGTGCACACACACACACACACACACCTCAGCAACTAAAAGTCTGCAGAATTTCTATATAAATTTTGAAGGCTTTGAGCATAATTGGATTAAAAGACAAACAATTGGTTTTGCAGGGACCTAATCTGTACCTGAGGCATACAAATTGATGATGGAGATTTAGCTAACTTACTGTCTTGCATCGATAAAATAAATAGGGCCATTAAAAACATACATTTTTATATATACATCTTTATCACCATTATTCTGAATAGATTGTGTGCCAAAAATGTGCTATGAGTTTTCTAAACGTGACAAACCTGGCAGTATGTTACAAATAGTTATAGTATTATTACCATACGTTCTGGTATGTAGTTTCTGGGAGTAGTTTCTGAAGTTTGACATGGGCTGGTTGTGGTTTGAGGTTAGTGGTTTTTGATTTAGAAATTCCCATCCACCACTTGGCAGAGCATTGCAACTGACAAG